ATTGAAAATATTTAATTAGAATTGTTGTCTCCCTAAAAAAATTTACACATTATTTTTCTTCTCAAATGATTTCAACAAAAATGTTGTTTCCTACTCTAGAACTCTCCAACCTCTCTCTAATCTCTCTGAACTTGATAACACCAAACCTTATATCTTCTTATTTTTTCTTATTTTTTCTCATTAATCTATCTTGTTTTGACAAGTTTTCATTATATGATTTACATCTTACACTCCTTTAAAGATATATTTATAAATCTTGGATATGTATTTTTGTGTGTGATATATGTTAGATTCTAAAACTTGTCGTTCAACATAATGTGAATATTTTATTTATTATTTAAGCATAAAAAATATTTTGGAAGTTTTTTTCTGTTTTAGTATCATTTGGAGATACTCTTAATGGGGTTGTTGAATGATTAAAAGTCTTCTGAACCGAAAATATCTCACCTAAATGGAGTCCAGGTTTATCTATGTAGGATGATCTTAAGCTCCATATGTAAAAGTTTTGTTTACGGTTTATTTTTTGACTGGTAGGTGTACAATTTTAGTTGTGAATTTTTTTTGTAAACTTGAAGAGAGGCTAAAAAAAGAATTTGGAAAATATGTTCATGTTTACAATATTATTTTGCCAAAAGTATTTAAATTTATTCAATTTATAGATACAACATAGGTGAAACATTTTAACCATCATATATCCACTCAGAGCAAAACACAACAGCACAAAAAAACTACATTTACTAAAATTAAGAGAAAATACTTCAAGAGAAAACTTAGTCAAATTCATAAAAGATCATACAATACATAAATCTCAATAAAATATTTTTTGGAAGACTTCACTATAAATCTTTTGTGAAATATTCTTTTAATACTATCAATAACAGAAAACTTCTTAAGTAAATTTTCAAATAATGTTTAGTGAACAAGTTAAATCTTCTCTCAGAAGACTTCTTTAGAAGTTTTCTCTAAGAAGACTTCTCCAGAAATCTTTTTTTAGAATACTTTCCAGAAAAGTTAACGCAAATTAAGCGGGAAATGAAAATTTAAGAGGAAAACTTAAATTTTAAGTGAAAAATGAAATAAATCTTGTGAAAGTTAAAAAATATATCTTATGATCTAAGAAGACACATTAAATTACATGACTTGATATTCTTAAAGTTATTTTAACACTTTGAAAAATTAAAAACATATCTTCAAATTACTTAACATTCTTGAAAATGCAAATTTTACAAAAATGAAGGTAGGAGACTTACACATAAGTCTATTGAGAAGTCTTCTCTCATTAACTACAAACACTAATAAACTTTTGAGAAGTCTTCTCTTATTAACTACAAACATTAATAGACTTGAATGTTTATAACCTCATAATTATCACTAATTAAGTTATGAATTTCATTCAGGAGTCATAATGTTGACTAACATACCTTTTTTTTTAACAATGACTAATATACATGAATTACAGAAAATATTGAAAATCTATTTAATTTTAGAGAATTGAAAATATATTAAACACTGACGTAGAAAACTTCCACGTACATCTTCTTGAAGTAGATTTCCACAAAAGTTTTCCTTTTAAGTCATTTTGCGATTGCAAATTTACAAATATTCTCTTACTTTTATATTTCAATTATTCTCAAAATACCAGAGAAGACTTACAGAGAATTTTTTTTGGATAAACACTTTAGTTTTTCACTTGATCAAAATGTGTCAAAAACTTGACTATCTACATATAACTTCCCTAAAAGTCTTCCGACGGTAGACTTCCCCTCAACTGTTACATGAAGTTTGTGAACAGTAAATGGAAATTTGTGTATATTACTTTTGAAATTCACCATATTTGAATTTTTCTGAAATGGTCTCTATGAAAGTTTTCTATGAAAGTTTTCTGGCGAAAGATTTTTTGTGGAAGTCTTTTTCAATAACCAAAGATTGATCAGAATTCTATAATAAAATTTGATAAAACTCTTTTGGAAGTCTATTCATTTTTTTTGTTAACAAATAAAAGTTGGAAAACTTGTAGAAAAGTTTCTCTATAAAATACACAAAAAGTTAATTACAAAACTAATATATTTGCTGATAAGAAGACTTTCGTAGAAGTTTTCTCTGTGTGCAAGTCTTCTTCGTGAAACAGATCTGAAAAAATATTAAAGGTTATTCTTAGATCTGATGAGGTTTATGTTTAGCTTCTTTAAATACACATAATTTTCAATGAAAATTTCTCACTCGTTCTTAACCAAGAATAATAAACTTGAATAACTTTGATAAGCTTATAAATTTTGAAATAAAAAATTTGAGATTTGAGATAAAATAAGAGAAAAGGTAAAAAGAAAATGGTTTGTGTATGTGATAAATATGAATATGAAAATGTAGATATTTATTTTAGGTATATTTATGGTTTGAATTGATTATTTATGATGTGTATTAATAGCAATCTATGTTTGGTGTTTCTCTGACTGAGGACGGTGGCAGGACTGACTAGAGTCTTGCAAGTTAGGGTTTGAATGGTTCTCTTACCATCATTTGTAAACACAGTTTTTGCGGTCGGTAGCGATTGTTAACGTTTTGCAACAATCACATAAAATGCTATAAATCGCTTAATTCGTTCTGAATCTCTAAAATTCATAAGCTGGTTACAGTTAGCGTTTGCGGTTGCGAACGATTGTAGGAGGATAAAAAAATATTTTTTCCTGAAAACTATAAAAATATAAAAATTCAATATTCAACTAAAATTTTAAATTAAAATAATTGAAATACCAAAATATTTATATTATAAAATTTGCAAAAAAAAATATTTTCTTTAATTTTTAAGAAAATTAATACTAGTTTTATCACTAAAATTTTTATATTTGTTATAAAAATATGATTTTAATATTTTGATAACTATATAAAATATAAATATTGGTAACTTATTATTTAACCGTTGTTGTATTTGTCATTGGTGCCTAGGCGGTTTGCTCTGACTATTGGGAGGGTACATGAGACAGTGGTTAAGAGCACCTCCTAAATAAAGACTGTTTCTTAGCGAATCCTTGCACTATTTGCGGGTCCCTATGACAAGTGACAACCCACAATTCATTGATATTTTCTTTATCTTTTAAATCTGAAAAAAATAAAAAATAATAATAAAAAAAATTAAAAAATAGTTTTTTAAGGACTCCAACAGGCAACACAGCTGGTTCGAACTCTAAAAAATAGTTTTTTAAGAACTCTTCATAATGATTCGAACTCTAATAATATTCAAAACTATTTAGCGTAAAAAAATTAAAAACTATAGAAATACTAATAATGTTATTTCACTATTCAATTCTACCACAACGATCGTCTGATTGCACGACCATACTTATTCTACAGTGATTACATCGCTTCGACTAATGTAACCATTCCGAACAATTTCATCACCCTATCAAATCAAATCAAATCAGATCGTCATTTAAAAAAAAAAAGAATTATAAAATTAAATAAAGACAAGTAATAATGGAAGAAAGTAAACGTGAAAGGACGTTACACAACCCCCCACTATTGTGAAGAACGAAGAAAAAACCCGAAAGAGCATCCAAAAGAAGAACGGTTGTTCACCAAATCAGAAGCAAAGTAGAATCACGATTTAACGAATGGCTTAAAAATTAAACAGAAGTTCTTCTATACGTCCAAAAAAAACACAAAATTCTTCAGACGTGACTTTGTTGTTCGAGCAGAGAAAAAAAGTTAGTAGGTATTGTATGACTCATTATTGTCGTTTAAGATCCACGACAATGGTTTTATGAGCTGTGGAATACATCGCTTCTTAGTTGACCATTTTTTTTTTTTTTTACATTTTTGTTTGTTTTTTTTGTCAACAACTAAAATTAATGTTCTAGAAACTAGAAGCTGAAGCCATAGTTTAAATAGATAGTAGTATTACTTTTAAAGTTAATGTTTAGTTTGGTCAATCTGTTTTTAATCTTTCATGAACTATTTTAAAGTTGTCACCAATGTCTATCAAAGCAATGTTTTCTTCATTGAATTGACTGGAACAAAACAAACACAACATCATCGTCTTTACTGAATAAACTGTGCAATGAACTTGTCTACTGTCTTATTCATTTCTCAATTACTGCCATCATTTAAAACGCGATCCTATACTATAAAACTTCTAATGATGATCTACAATTTGCAACAACCACATCTAAATATTGCGCATATAGATGATCAGTTCTCTGAGTACATGATATACTACGAATTATGCCTTTATAATTATATTTCAGACCTGGTAGTAGCTAGGTGTAGCTAAAATAAACTTAATTTTTTGTGGTGAAACATCATTTCAGTTACTTAAACGACGTTTTGAAATTGCCGACATTTTTTTTACAGTCCAAGTGATAATTTCTGATTGTAGTATACATTGACTGAGTCAAGTTATTAAGATTGTTTACTAAATTTGCTTAAAGGTGGACAGTAAGAAAAGAACATATAACAGCATGATGTGATATCATAACCTTTTGCCATTATTAGGTCCCCCATCTAACCAAACTCTAACAAAAATTCAAACATTTGTACTTTTTCTACATAAAAATATCTTATACTATTAATTTCCAATTAACTATTCCATACGTGCTTGTATTATTTTCACGGACTAAATGACATAATTATTAACAAAACAAATTAATTTAGTTACGAACATAATATTTTTATGTCGTTTTAGCTGCACATTTACGTATTTGATTAAACATGTGAAAGGTTATATTATTAGACCATTCGACGAAAAAAGTATTTGATTAATCATAAATCATGTTCATATTCCAAAGGGAAAAGATACTATCTAAGAACTGTACTTTTGCTTTATTTTTTCTACCGTTGACTGTATTGAGTACAATCTCTTCTTCATCTTCTAAAACCCCCCACTGCTTTTTAACTTTATTATTTTCCCAATTCTATTGTTTTATTTGAATTTTACTTTCACTTTAGACATACAACACCAAGATCAATCATAAATAGGCAGCCATATAGGTTTTCGTTTTACAAAACACTCAGCAAATCATTAGGAAGAAGAAGAAAAAACAGAAAACATGAGTGAGCTTCTCTACTCTAATTTACCCACTTGGGATCTCCATAACCTTGGATCACTCTTCAAGCCTGACTTCAATCTTGGTATGTACATACATACATATGATAGATCTCTCACTATATATATATATATATATATATATATATATATATATATCTTTGTATGGACGTGCATGTAGTTATTTACGATTATGCGGTGAAAAATATATAAGTTAAATGTTTGCTATAAATTGCAGATGCATGTGGATACATGAATGGATCGCCGCAACAGATTTACAGATCACCAGAGATGGGTTATTCTGACGTCTCCACTGGTTACCTTGAGGACGCACTTATCGAGTCTTGTGAGAGAAGCAAAAGAAGACGTCTTTTGTTCGAGGATCCATCAAAATCTCTCAACGATAGCTACTCATCGCAGGTTTGAGTTTGATCATTTATTTAATTATATATATTTTTTTTTTGAAACACATTTATTTAATTATATTTTCTGAATGATTTACTAAATTATTTCCTAATATTAAATTATTTTCTCCTCAATTATCATTTCCAAATGATTTGGTAACAATATATAAATTAAACTGAAATATGTTGATCGTCGAAAATGCAGAATGATTGGGGCCTGCATGAGAGTTATAGCTGTTTGGAAAGTCAGTTTGTCACTCCACATGTTTACACAGGTGAGACCTACTTTATATAAATAGTTTTGAAGAAACTATTCATATAAAGTTTAAATGGTACTAACATGAGATGTATATTATTTTAACTAATTGTCTGATACAAAATAGTTTTTAATTAAACAGGATGATGTTTTTCTTTTATTGAGATGACTTTTAAGTAGTTCTAAAATTTGAAATAATAATGCATTTCTTTCTTTTTTTTTTGTTCAAAAACAATGCATTTCTAAATTCCGTAATCATAAAAGGAAGTAATTTCATGCGGTCCATATGACATTACTATCTTTAACAGTTAGTTTGCAGGATTTCTAGCCAACATGTCGGTTCTATTTGCACTCTTACTTAACTTTATGGTCTCATTTCAAAGTAACCTTCTAAATTAATCGTTGCTGATGTACAGATGAACGTAAGAATGTAAAACGTGGCCTTGAAGAGCCAATATCGACCATGTACGAGTCCCCCGATACTTCTGTTTCTCCCGACAAAATCTATATCCGAGAAAAATCTCCAACCGAACCATCTTTGTCTGATTGTGGTAATAAGAACAAAAGACTAGTCTACCCATTTGGATTGGTGAAACCAGGTGGTCGAGAAGAAGATATAACCCTGAATGATGTAAATAAGAGGATCCTAATGCCACCGGCTCGACCTGTTCGACATCCCGTTGGAGAATTTGCCTCTAGACCGTGCATCTCGACCCATGGACCAGGTCTCTCCGGTAAAACCGTGGTGGCTCTTACTAGGATCCAAACACAAGGAAGGGGTACAATTACCATAATCAGAACTACAGGGTGAATTATGTAAAATTTATTAGTCAGTTGTGCTTGTGTGTTTACAGTATAATTGAGGTTAATTGTAGAATAGAAAGCCAAAGTAATCATTGGCTATAAGAGAAACTTTCAACTTTTGTAAAAAGAAAATAGGGAGGTAAACTTCGAAAAATGTTGTACAATAATAACCGGTGGGTTTTTTCAGACATGAATATTCACATTACCTTATATATTTTGAATTGCTGAGATTGATCCTGAGTTTTTAATATCTTTTATCATATTTGACACAACATATTATTTAGTAAGAGAATTATCACATGCTAAATATATAAAGTATGATAAGTAAAGAAGAATAAAGAAACAAATATAAGAATAAAGAAAAAAGAAAAAAAAAACAAAGAAGAATTAAATAAAGCAAAAGCAAGAGATGAAATTCTAAAATGGAAAAAAAAATAAAAGAGTAAAAGGTGAAAAAGATATACAAAATGATATATTTAAATGTTTGTTATATATTGTTTTTTGTTAGTTTAATACAATTCTTAATGATTTATATAAAATGTGAGTGTTGAAATAAAGTTCACTAGTATTTGACAAAAGATGAAAGTTTTTTAGGTATTATAATAGCCGCATATCGTTTAGGCTCCATTCTTTACAAGCTTTAGATCACCGCCGTTGTTTGATGTATATATTGACGAAACCAAACGACGAGGATCAAAGCTCATGACGTCGTGCTTATGTTATGTTACGTATGTCGGCATGAGTTAATACGACAAACAAAAATTGTATAAGAAAAGTGGCAAGTGACCTATAACCATATTGATAGTGCATGCATGCGTCTCATCGTGGATTTGGTTAAAACTAGTGATATTTTGTAATACATTAGCTATTAACTTTTTCTCTTCTGATACTTGAAGATCTGCAACCGAATGCAAAGACTACTTGTCTACTTTCCAACGTCCATCTAAGCCCAAACTCAAGCCCACCTCCATCTACACCCCCAAGTCCACGCCGAGCCGGACGCACCAGAGGACAGAGCCATCCTCTCTCAGCTCTAAGCCTTTGAGCCATATATGTGTGAACATATATATACTTGCACAAATGGTGTCAATTTCCCGATGTGAGACTTTTGTTGAGTTCACACAACAAAATTTTCACAGATTTGTTACACTGACATACCAACTTCATCACTTCATTTCTCGTTCAATTTGTTTTTTTTTTGACGTTTTAATGGTAGTACTAGGTTTTGACCCGCGCTTCGAAAGCGCGGGTATTATATATTTTTAAAATAAGATGAAATTTACACATGTATGTTTCGATCGCATTTATGGATCATATTAACTCGAGAATATTTAATTGTAAAGGGGAGTATAGGAAGTTATACTTCTTTAGAGGGCGAGTATATTTTATAATTTCATTTTTTATAAATTTAATTTTTACATTTGTGTTTTGTTTGTAAGCTTTGTGTGTTTTGTAATCATATTTATGTAAAATATTTTTTAAATGATTGGTAAGGTGTTTTGACAACTGTATTGAATTTGTGATGATGCATAATTATATACTCGTGCCTAGTGCTAGGAAGCGGGTCAAACCCGTCCCGCTCGACCCTTCATGCAGTGGGTTGTTTTATTTATTGACTAATTTTTTTAACATTTTTGACCCGCAAAGAAAATATATTTATTTGAAATCACTTCACTTAAATTTACAGATAACCCGCATGGTCCGTAGATAATTATTAAATAATATAAATAATTATTTTTTAAAATAACATGTAAAAATAATATAAATAATTATTAAATATATACTTGTTAATGTTGATAATTATAGAATTAATTGTCATGTAAAAATAAAAATAAAATTTTATATAATAGATTGTATAATATTATATACTTAGACTTGGTTAAATTATCATTTTAGTTAGGCCTACTTTACAAACGAAAACTCATTATAAAGCCATGTTAATACTTGATTAAGAAATTGTTGTCTACAGAAAATTATTTCTATAATTTCACCCTATTGAATTTTAAATTGCTTTCAAGTATGAAGAACTTTTAGTCGATAGCTGCCATTATAGATTTTGATAAATAAAAGATGAGATATGGTGTTTTGTGATTGGAAGGTGAAGATGGTTTATATTTATAGCAAAAATCGATGGTTAGAGTAGGTTTAGGACATTTATAAAATAGCAAGAAAATTTAATATATTTAAAAACCAAAAATGGAACAAATTCGTAAGTAAATATTTAGTATCTCTATAATATTATTTGAGAATTCAATTTCTTATGTGTCGTTCTCACGTTCATTCTCACGATGGTTGATTACATTGATACCCTTAATGAATTAAAAATAGTTGAAAGTATTATTATTAATTCTTTTATTTTTAGTTTTTCCTTTTCAAAAATTTCCAAAAAGATATGTAATAAAAAATATTTTTTTATAAAGTCATAAAAAACAAATTTAAAACGAAAATATATGTATATATAATATGATTTCATAAAAAGGAAAATTGACAAAATAGTAATAATACATTTAAAATATTTTTAAATAACATAAAAATATATATATATATATATAATATATTTCATAAGAAAGGAAAGTTCACAAAATAGTAATAATACATTTAAAAATATTTTTAAATAACATAAAATATACTTTTAGAGTAATAAAATAGTTTATAATTAGTATTATTGAATTTTTATTTATTTTCCATATATTTAGTTGACTATAATATCTTTCAATTACAGAAAATTATCTAGAACTTATATTTTACTTATATAATATTATTTTCAAATACAATCACATTTTATGTAGTGCTTATTTTTAAGAGATATTAAAAACTAAAAATAAATTTAACAATAAACATAGTTTGGTCAAAATAATTGTTCTAATGAGCTAGATATATGATATTTTATCATTATTAAAATTATTTATTTTATTAAGATTAATTGTTTTAAATTTTATGTTTTATGTTTGTGAAACTAAATATAACCATAATCAAAATATCAAAGCAAATCTGAATTCTCAATTTAAGATTATTTAAAATAAATTTCAGTTTACATTCAATAAATCTAAAGCATAAAGTTATTTAGAATTTATAAATGCATGTAACCTTTTATTGATCATATGATAACTCAAAACA